GTTGGTGTTCTCCTCTTTAGAAGTTCCAAATACTGATTTCGAGTGTTGGTACCCCAGATTGGGTGTGGAAGCAAAAAGGCTCACGCCTATAAAAGATTTAAAGGAGGTTCATATAGGTCTTCACACCCATCAGGTGATGAAGATAAAAACTTTGTTGTCCACAGAGGAGGAAAAGAAACTATGTGACGAAATCATTAAGAATGTCGACATGTTCGCTTGGGTCCCCCCCTCCGACATATCAGAAATTAACACCAAAGTCGTGAGTCATCGCCTGGCCATCCACCTTTTTCTAGACCAGTGGGGCAGAGAAAGCGTAAAGTTGGTGAGGAGAAGAGGGTTTCCATTGATGAAGAGTTGGGAAAGCTTTCTAATGTTGGGTTCATCACATAAACGAAATATCCCACCTGGTTGGCCAACATGGTTCTAGTGCAGAAAGCTAACAATAGATGGAACATGTGTGTAAATTTCACTGATTTGAATGTTGCATGCCTTAAAGATCACTACTAAACATCAATTACCTCATCGATTGGTCATCATGTTACCGCACATTGAACTTCATGGATGCATACTTGGGGTACATCCAGATAATGATGAATCCATTGGATGCGTCCAAAACATCCTTCATGTTGAATCATGACAACTATTATCATAATGTCATGCCCTTCAAACTTAAGAAAATTGGTGCAGCCTACTAGCGACTCATGGATGCTGTCTTTGCCCATCAAATAGGGCGAAACCTAGAATTCAATGTCGACGACATGATAATTAAGACCATGGAAGGGTGCAACCATGTAGAAAGATCGAAAGATGTCTTATGGTTAGTTAGGAAGTACGATATGTCTTACAATATAGGCTTCATATTGACACAGAGATGCATCGAGGCTAACCAAATAAGTGTCAAGCAGTTATCACAATGAAGAACCTCACTAACATAAGGAAATGCAATAGATCAAAGGTCGTTTTTCATCTTTATCTTGCTTCCTTTCTCACGCAGTCGACAATGCCTTCCTCTTCTTTGCTGTCTAAAAAAAGAAGGAGAGGTTTGAGTGGAAACCCAGTTGTGAGGAGGCTTTCACCAAGGTCAAGAACTTCCTCATGTCGCCCCCCGTCCTGACTCGGCCGAGAGATGGGTCGTCGTTACTCCATTTCCTCTTAGTCACAGATCAAAAGATGAGCTCAGTCCTTGTCTAGGAAATAGATAGGATAGAGAAACTTATGAATTAGTAAGTAAGGTGTTCAGAGGCGCCAAGGCATGCTATCAACAGATTGAGAAACTGGCGCTAGTCTTTGTCGTTGCGACGAGGAAGTTAAGGTCATACTTTCAGGGTAAAAAAATTCTAGTAAAACCTAACTACCCCATTCAGGAAGTTGTGAAAAATCTCAGTATAGCAGGAAGGATGTTATCTTAGGTGGTGAAACTCTTAGACTACAACATCCAATATGTCCCGAAGAGGAGCATCAAGTCACAAGCTTTGAAAAATTTCACGGCAGAATTCAACTTGCCCATAGAGGAAGGGTCAACTCCAAAATGGGTGCTATTTATATATTGCGCCTCCAACAGAAAAGGGAGTGGTGTCAGGATAGTCCTAGAAGGATTTGGTGACATACTCATTGAGCAAGCCTTAAAGTTTGAGTTCACCACCAACAACAACCAAGAGGAGTAAGAGCTCTTATCGCTGGAATGATCCTTGTAACACCCTAATTTCGGACACGACATAACTTAATATAAAACGATAAATTGAGTGCTACTCGTAATCCACTGATCAAAACAAACACAAAACCAAATATTCTTTTGAAATACACAACATAAAACAATTATGTTTGACATCATAATCTCATCAAATTGTAAAAATACTCAGAATGATTTAACAACTTTGAAATAGCATAAAGAAAACAGGAAAATAAAATAAAGAACAGTTTGTTTCCTCAATGTTACATATCAGAGCGACTCCATTAAGACCCGAACAAATAAGAAACTAAGGAGGGAGAAAAACACAAACCTAATTAGTATAGTAAAAGGAAAGATTTACATGATAAAGTGATGAACAATAGCAATCCAGAGTAGGAGCTATGGTCTTATTTCGCCCCACAGAAGACAACATCTTCTTCCCTTTACGAGATAGTCATTTCCTCTTATAAATGTTTTGGACATTTCCTTAGATTTTAGATTGATATTTGGCTTTTTGGGATACTGCATTTGACACCCCTTTACTTTGCAAGCAGTTAAAACATCAAGGTATAATTTGAGAAACTTTCCCTTTCGAAGGAACGACAAACCACCATTGATTTTTCTTATTTACGAATCATTTAATACTTGAGTTGGTCTAAATATAAAAATGATGAATCCGTTACAAATTTACCATCCTAACATTTTAATAGATTCCATGATCATAGTTGTTAAATGATATCATCTACAACAACACCTTAATCACATATGTTCAAAGATACATCAATATTAAAAATATCAAAAAAAAACATAGACTTATATTTAATTCATTCTCATAGCAGAAGTTAGAACATTTGTATCATTGGTTGATTAATCAACCAACCAACCAAATTGACTAAGTAACTAATTATCAGTTAGTTAACTTAACCTACTAATATACTTAGTTACAAACTAATTAATTGAATTATATACTGGAGTGTATAATATAACTATGTCACTAAACTATATACCGACACAGGTGAATAGTATGTATATTTCATTGAACTATACACGCGCACAAATAAAAACGTTATATATATATATATATATATATATATATATATATATATATATATATATATATATATATATATATATATATATATATATATATATATATATATATATATATATATATATATATATATATATATATATATATATATATATATATATATATATACTTACTTTTCTAATATAATATTTATTTATATCAAATTATATTGTTTAGTTAGTATAACTAGTGGAGGAGCTCATACATGGGAATAAACAATTACAGAATTTTAATAGATACAAATATTTTAAATAAAATTGAATCAATATATATCTCATAAAAAGAGTACATTTTTATTGATAAGGTAAGTGAGTGCTCATAAAAAGAGTACATGTTTATTCAAAAGTAGTATATATATTTAACAAAGTAGTATATATATTTAACATTGTTATAATAAATAGTTGGTTGAGCTAAGAGATTAAAAGAGTTAAGGTGTTAAAATTACATGGCTTGAATATGGAAATACTAACCTAACCACTAGTATTTATTAAAAATAAAATAAAAATTTGACTTACTCACAACACACTATATCTTAAAATAAAAATTTGATTTAATCGCAACACATTATATCCTATTGCGAGTTAATTTTTTTTTTGTTGAGATTTTTAGTGAGAAAGATTTATCTATAATTTGATATATCTATTTAAAATTGTAAAAGAAATATAAAAAATATCATAATACAAATTTTTTAAAATCTTTAACTAAGAGCATAATCTTTTAAAAAATTTAGTGGGAGTATCTTAAGTGGATAAATTAATATATTTTTTATAGGTTCAAAGTAATTTGTAGGATTTAAAAAATTTATAGTTGATTTGAGTTGTTTTTACTTCAATGATAATTGTTTATAAAAATTAAAATTTGACCCTATATGTTTTATAAAACACTAAAATTTAATTTTATATTATTTTTTAATAATATAAATAATAATATTATATGTTTCAAAATAAAAGTATACGTTAGTTATATAATTGTCGAAAATTAAAAGTTAATGAATTAAATGTCATGTCATAGACATTCTAATGCAAATTTTTTATAATCATCATTAACTATAAAAAATTTAACTATTAAAAACCTGTATTAAAGATGTTGTACCTGTTGAGAATTTAGAGAAAAATTGACGAAGAGATTTGATAAGAAAAAATGATGGAATGAAAACAACTCAGTGGCTTAGGTGGATAAATTGTCATTCAATTTGTTTTTATTTATAGTACAAAAATTATATAAAATGAAAATTTTGAAAGGTTTAGATCAGTTTTACAATTTAATTTATGTTGATATAATATTTTTAAGTAAAATATATATATTAAAATAAATATTCATTTATTGTTCTACCGAAAAATACAATTTTAAAAAATATTAATTTTTTTCCATCAAATAAAACTCTTGTAAAATTGGGTTAAGTTTCAGTGAAGTGACAGTGTGAAAATAAAATATGATAACTTTGTCTCTATCTCTCCAACACACTTTATAACTCTTTTTTTTATAATTATTTTTTCACTTCTCTCTTTCATAAATTTCTTTAAATTAATTTTTCACTTCTGTGATAAAGTCACCCAATCCTTCCTTCTAAAGTTATCCTTCTTCTCCTTTTCATATTCTCAAATAAAATTTTCATTTTGTATCATCTCCTCCCTTAGAAGTCTTGTTTAGCTGCTTTTTAGTTTACAGAAAAGGAAACCTTCTTCATTGAAGCAAAGGTAGGTAGCACCTTTAACCAGTATGTGGCAAAGGAAGACAATAGTAATCTCACTGATTTCAAAGATGCAAAGAAATACTAGTCAAAGTGAAATACATTACTAAGTTCTAGTCCAAGCACAAAACATGCCAAGGAAAGAGCAATCAAAATTACAGAGTTTGGACCCGGGCCACAAACTGAGGATAACATAACAACAAATACTCAAGATCAACTAGCTACTGACTTGATTTAGTAAGGCTACATAATAATAAAACAAAGCCTTCACTTGCTGCACTCATCTGCTCATAATCATTGCCCAATGTGAGTTTAGCACAGCACCGACTCCTTTTTTGATTTCATGAGCACTCTCTGTTTTTCTTCCTTGTTAGTCTAACTACCGATTTTGTTCCTTGCTGATACAACCAACTTGTGATATTCAAGTCAATGTCTTAATCCTACGATAACCCACTAGTAATCCGCCAGCTTATGAAGCCAGACTCGTTGAGATCGCCATGTTTCAAACCCTTTCAAAAATCTTAACTAGGTTAGGATAGAACTGCCCTTACTTAATAGAAGTCGCCGCGGAAAATGGCAGCATATAATATATCTGCATTCTCAATCATCTCATTCAAATTAAGGCGCCCATATTTGCCAACTTGTGCCTGTCATCGTAACAGTACAGAAAACAAAAATTAGCTTGCGGATTCAAAATATCAAATGCAATGTGATAACAAAAATCATTCTCATGTTGGGATGACTTTGTAAGAAAGGAATCAACTCTGTCAACAAATACTGTAATGTTAAATTCAATACCCGTGAACCAAAGTATTCCGCCTGTTTCCTTGCATAATATTGCCAAGAAGGGTGTACTTTTCCGATTATAGGTAGTAGTTCAATGGCTGACAAATACCTGCACACATTAAAATGGAAGTTGAAAACACAATTACACAAAGACAAATGGATACTACTATAGTATAAGTAAATTATCATATTGATATTAAAAAAGCAGAATAATTATGGGAAAAGAAAAAGGTAAATACCCGTCACGATCTTTGTCAAGCTGAGAAAACACAACTTTGGCGTAAGCATTCTTCGAATCATCAGAATGATGTGAATAACCATTACTTTCTTCATCATAGGATCTTATGGAAACAAAGAGCCCATTGACAAATTCTATATAACTGACCTTCCCATCTCTATCAGTATCACGTTCCCTATAGAAAAATAAAAGGTTTGATCAAGCAGGAGTACACCAAAGCAGTGTTCAAATAAGCTTATTGTACATAAACAGAAGATTTTCCATTCCCTTCAGAAAAATAAGATTAACCAAAACTAATACTGTTCAAAATTACTTTGATTCTTTCGTATAGGTTACGATGTATGTAAATAACAAGAAAGATAGGAGTTACCAGACTTCCTCCCTGCACAACCATTGTTGAAGCTTTGGGTTGTTGCTGTCAGCGGGGTGAAGAAAACTACAAGACATATAACAAAATTAGTTCAAACAAAAAGGATCAGCATTGATTCACCACAGCAGGTAGATGTAGATACAGATAGAAAGAAGCTCACTCATGGAATTCGGGTAAGTTTAGACGACCGTCTCCATCTGTATCAGATGCATTAAAATGCTCTTCTTCCAACACTCTCATATCATAAGCAAAAGAATCACCATCTGATGAATGAAAAACATAAATTATGGTTAATTGTATATAATAAATGTTATACCCTACCAGTGAGAAACTCAAAACTCATACTCAGCTGCGAAGATTCCAAAAATTATGAAATTTCTTTAAAGAAATTAACAAGCCGTCAACCCAAAACAGCAAGAAACTCAAAACTCAGAACATCATAAACAACTTAGTTTCGACCAAAAAGCTTATTTCCAAAATTTCTCAAAAAAAAAATTAAGAATCCAACCGAAAACAGCTAGAAACTCAAAACTCAGAACATCATACACAACCTGTGTATTGTGGTGGAGTGGGAAGATGGTTCTCGAACTCGGTGAAGGAGACAAAACCGTCGAGATTCTTATCGTAAATGATCATCTCCTCCTTGCTGCGATGGAACTTCTTAGTTTGGAGATGATGAAGTTTCCACTGAGTAAGTTCGTGGACGGAGACATACTGATCAGTGGGGTCCACATCGATTTCCGGGAAGAGGCAGACGATATTTTTGGTGAGATTGAAGTCGGAATGGGTCTCCAGGCAGTGGTGGTGATGGGTGGCGGGGTCGTTTTGGGGGGAGTGGGAGAAGAGGAAGATCAGAGCTATTGCCCCGACTATGAGAAAGAGTATCGACTTTATGACCATTGAATTGGATGTTTTCTAACTACAAAATGGGAGAGAGATAGAGAGAAGTGGAATTGGTAAGATGAGAGGGATTGAGAGTTGGAGATGGAGCATGTTCCTGCAGGAGAGAGGTATTTATAGTGAAAACAGAGTATGAGAATCTTTTGTTTTGCCAGTTTGTATGCCTTTTTTATTTTTTGGCATTCGCCGACTACCCCGCGCGTGCTATGCACGAATACATAAAACACTTTTTCCATCCCGACATGACAACGCAATACGTAAATAATACACATTCTTTAATTTTTTATTTTGTCCATTCATACGGAAAATAATACTATATCTCATTATATGAGAGGTAATTGATTTTTGAGAAGTTCTAGCAATATTCTCTTTTCAACATTTTCTCAAAACATTTATTTTTTTATTAATTATAACATGTGTGAGATTCTCACTTTATAAATAGGTCTCACATTAAATAGTATGACTCACACATATTTCAACCAATAAGAGTGTTACTAGCACTCCTCTTATTTTTTAGATTAATTAAATAATTAATGAATGTAGTCTATAAATCGACCAAATACATTGATTATTAAATGAATTTAAAAATTTAATTGTCTCCTATATAAATGAAGGAAAGTATATAATTTTTAATATTCACTTTTTATCATACTCATCTTTGAATCTTAAACTGAATTGGTGTTAGTTCGAATTTTCGACAACGAAAAACCTCAACAAAAAATGTTAGAGGTGAAGGTATACAAATGATGTATACAAAAGAGACCAGGATGCAAACTTAATATCTTTTTGATATTGTAAGGAACACTTCGATCGCGTGATAATATCGACCATGTAATACGTACGATAGTATTGAATTGGTCGAAAAGGTGGTTATTTGAGCGTGCAACATTACGTTCGTATACTAATAACTATATGTAGGTTGCTTTTTTAAAGGACACGTGCAGAAAACACATTGGCATGCTACATGCAAAGCTTCACGTGGCGAACTTTGAAGATAAAAACTTTAGAAGTAGTTACTTCATACTTATATATAGGAGTTCATTTTGTTTAATTCAGGATGTTCATTTGGTTACAAAAATCTCACACCAAATTCAAAGTAGCAGCGTCAAGAGAAACGAGTTATGATTGAGAAAATGTACGAACAATGAATTATCATCCTTTACTTTTAATGCAAGGTTTCTAATTTACATTTTTTTAACTTTACGTTATTTCATTTACATCCAATACTTTTCAAGTTATTTCACTCAACATTTTAAATCTTTGTCATCGTACACGTTCCTTTAACCTCTTAAGACCATATTTCAACCAAGTCAAAGACAAACATTTTAACGCAAGAGAATCAAAGGCAAGGCTTAACTTGACACTATGTCCTAAGATACACTAGCTGATCCTGCAAGTGATCTTTAATTAGGAGATAAGCAATTGTTTACAATTTTTCAGCGTAAACAAATTGGCACACCCAGTGGGGCATGTGCTAAGCTTCCTTTCTTTAACAGATTGTCTTGTTTTCATTTTACTTTTAAATAGTGTTCTATTTTTAAGACTTTTTTTGGGTATTATTTATGCAATTAAGTAGTGGTAAGATTTTGTCTAGAATGTCCCGTCCTCCTTTAAATAATGTAAACTCCAAGAATAATCCTCAAATTGTAGTGCAACGACCAGCTGTGTCGGCGGTTGAGGAGCCAGTTCTCTCGACCAATTAAAAAATGCTCTGGTGGTATAAATAGTGCCAGTTGAAATGATGCTGTCATAGGGGGCTACACCCCTATCGTAGTCGGGAAATTCTCTTAACAACCTTGTGATTGCGAGACATTTATTTAGGTTCTCAATGCCATAAACTGGTATAGACTACTTTTATGGTATGCAAACTTATATGATAGCTAACCTTCAATCGAACATGGCAATCTATCCCTAGCCTGAAGATGGATTAATTTATTTCCTTGAGCGTTGCAAGCTTAATGATTATAAGGCAATGCTTTGTTTATGTTGCAACGCTATTTTCAATAAGGAAGCAACAAAAAAGTTAGAGGCGTCGCGAAGCTTTAACCCCAGGAGAGGACAAGGTGAGGTCAAGCTGCCAGATTCTCCCCAAACACTAGGGGGAAAGCCTCGTAGAAATGAAGAATACATGAGGAAATTTCAACTACCTCGCCAGCAGACTTTTCTACCACCAGCAAGCGCACCCAAGGAGAAATGGGTGAAGCCTAAAAATAAGAAAGAGGCAAATCTCCCTAAGTAGAAGGAAGTCGGCCCAAGGTGGGGATGTCAAATCAGAAAGATTCCAAGAGCAAGTCCCATGTTCCTCCGACATACAAGGAAGTCGTACCCAATGAAGGCGTCATCAACGAAAGAAGAAGGTCGAACGTAAAGCATTCGCTGCAAAGCGTGACGCCACATAGGCAAAGCTCAATCCAGTTATGTCAAAGGATCAAAAGAAGCCTTACTCCAAAAACTTCAATGAGAAGGACAAGCTGACAGTTTCCCAAAGGTCAACTTTAAGAGAGGCTCGTATGGGAAAAGGGCCCCCAAGGGTGATACCAAAGATGCCTGAGTATACTCTACAATATGAGGATGAGACTCCACATTATACCCCTCAACTGGAAGACAAAGATTCGGAGTACATCCCTCAATCTTTTGAAGAAATGGTCAAAGATAACTTTTGTGAAAATTCTGAAGACAATTTGCAGATAAATTGTGGGATAGTCTCAGTTCTACCAGCGAAGTACGACAGAGTGTCGGAAGTATATGAGGCTCAAGAGAATTTTGTACAAGATGGGGCTAAAAACTAGAAGCCTTTTTGCTACTTGGTCATGAATAATGGTGTGGTCGAAGAACAACAGGCAGTTTTTGAATGGCTTGATCCCGACATGATGTATCACCTGAAGTCGTTGTTCATTAGAGCAAAGGTGGATGTCAAAATCGTTAATAAAGTGTTTGTCGATGGAGGTGCGGTCGTCAACTTGATGTCATATTCATTATTCAAGAAAATGGGGAAGACCAATGAGGATCTTAGGCCTCATAACATGGTGTTATACAATTTTGAGGGAAAGAACAATAACATACCAGGCATGTGAATGTGAGTAAAATACATAACAAGAGGGTTGAATTGTGTATGCCAAATTGTTTTTACTTTTGAATCAGAGCTCAAAATTTAAACAGAAGTTAAGAATCTGATTAACAAGTTGCAGCGGATAAAATAACAAGTAAAAAAAAGGCAAAGAACACATAAAAGTTGTATTGGTTCCTCTCCAACTAAGAGTGGTTCATTCCCCTTGCAGCACAAGACATTTTCACTATATTCAAACCAATTGCAATTACTTATACCCTCAAGTATAAGACTTTCTCCTGCTCAGAGCTACAACCTAAGTCTTTCTTGCTCAATCAGCACTTGATCAAGACTTTCTGCTTTGATCCTCAGATCCTAAGACTTTCCTACATATACCCTCAAGTACAAGACTTCCTGCTCAGACTCATAACTTAAGACTTTCTTGCTTAAATTTCACGGGTTCAAGACCTCAATGCTCAAGCACACGACAAGAGACTTTATCTAAACTGACTGTTTAGAGAAGGAATAATTTACAACAACACTTGATTAACAATTAGAGGTATTAAAAAACAACACACTTTAACACTAAATATTTTTAAGCTTTATAAGAATAAGAAATCTTAATGGATTAGCTTCAATTGAGCTGATACAAATAGTGTGAAATGCGTGTATATTTCAGTTGTAGTTAGTGTTAAAATCTAAACGGTGACGAAACTAGTCCACTTTTAGATGTCTTACGAAAATATCCCGCAGCTCTAGGCTATAACATTTCCGATCTAAAAGGGATAAGTCTGTCAGTGTGTATGCACCAGATTATGCTAGAGGAAGATTCTAAACCCTCTAGAGAACACCAAAGAAAGATAAACCCTATAATGAGTGATGTGGTCAAGATAGAAGTGCTAAAATTACTTGAAGCTGGAATAATTTACCAAGTCTCTGATAGTAAGTGGGTAAGCCATGTACATGTGGTACCTAAAAAGGGAGGTGTCACAGTTGTACAAAATGATAAAGGAGAATCAGTAGCAAAACGTATAGAAAACGGTTGGTGTATGTGCATTGACTATATGAATCTAAACAAAGTAACCAGGCACAACCATTTCCCCCTTCTATTCATCAATCAAATGCTTGAACGTTTGGTTAGACACTCTTATTTTTGCTATCTGGATGGATATTCAGGATTTTTCCAAATTCCTATTCACCCAGATGACCAAGAGAAAACAACCATCGCATACCCATATGGAAAATTTGCCTACCAATGAATGCCATTCGGGCTATGCAATGCCCTTGCAATTTTACCATGATGTGTGATGTTAATATTTGCTAAATTCCTTAACAATATCATGGAAGTTTTCATGGACGATTTCTCGGTATGCAGGTCCAATTTTAAAAACTGCCTTGCTAACTTAGAGAGAATCTTGGAAAGATGTGTAGAAGTTAACCTAGTTATAAAATGGGAGTTATATCATTTCATGGTGATAAAAGGTATAGTACTAGGACACATAGTATTGGAAAGAGGCATTGAGGTTGACAAAGCTAAGATTAAGGTTATAGAGAACCTCCAACCACCAAAGATAGTTAGGGTAGTCTGAAGTTTTCTTAGACACGTCGGTTTCTATCGACGCTTCATCAAAAACTTCTCTAAAATCGTTAAACCTTTAACTGGTTTCCTAATGAAAGACATTGAATTCCTTTTCATTGAAAAATTTCTCAAAGCATTCAATCCCCTAAAACGGGCATTAATCTTCACTCCTATCATGCAACCACCAGATTGAAACCAACCATTCGAGATTATGTGTGATGCAAGTGATTTCTCCATTAGTGTTGTCTTAGGGCAACAAAAGGATAAGAGATTGCATGTGATATATTATGCTAGTATAACTTTAGACGCCACCCAACTAACCTATGCTACTACTGAAAAAGAATTCCTCGCAGTAGTGTTTGTAATAGACAAATT